ACCTGTTAATCCATTTTCCCTCTGTTGGGTTTAGTAATTATTCACCTAAAGAATGTCATTTCAAAAAGTCCCCATTTGTGATGTCACAAATGGGAACATTTACATTGAACACTCTCTCATTTATCCAGTCTAGAGGAGCAGCATCTCTACTCCGAGCCCGTCCCAGAAATCCAAGCTCCTAACTTCAGCCAATCAGGTGCTGGGTGGGCATGACCAGTTCTAGCTTGTTTACTTATGGCGACAAAGTCCTGAAACGGTTTATTCTGGAAAAGTGTGAAAATGTCAACAATAAAACTGCTGAAACCACTTCATGAGAGAGGGATTTTGTGCAAAGAACTTCATAAACCATAAAACTAATATATTTTTGAAAAATGCCATGATGTCTCTCCTTTAAAACCTTGGCAGTTAAAAAGCTCAATAATAATATTAGTATTTGAATCTTTCATCGTGCAAAGTTTGCAGCCGAGTGTGAAGCAGCTGGGATGAGAATCAGCTCCTCTAAATCTGAGAACATGGTCTTGATTCGGAAAAGGGAAAAATACCTTCTCCGGGTCAGGGATGAGGTCCCGCCCCAAGTGGAGGAGTTTAAGTATCTCGGGGTCTTGTTCAAGAGTGAGGGAAAACTGGAGCGTGAGATCGACAGGTGGATTGGTGCTGCATCTGCAGTGATGCAGGCGTTGTACCGATCTGTCGTGGTGAAGAGAGCTGAGTCAGAAGGTGAAGCTCTCGAGGATCTACGTTTCAACCCTCACCTATGGTCATGAGCTTTGGGTAGTGACCAAAAGAACGAGATCGTGGATACAAGCGGCCGAAATGAGTTTTCTCCGCAGGGTGGCTGGGCTCTCCTTTAGAGATAGGGTGAGAAGCTCGGTCATCTGGGAGGGGCTCAGAGTAGATTCACTGCTCCTCCACATCGAGAGGAGCCAGTTGAGGTGGCTCAGGCATCTGGTCAGGATGCCTCTCTGGTGAGGTTTTCTGGGTACGTCCAACCGGGAGGAGGCCTAAAGGTAGACCCAGGACACGGTGGAGGGACTATGTTTCTCACCTGGCCAGGGAACGCCTTGGGATTCCTCCGGAGGAGCTGGCCCAAGTGGCTGGGGAGGGGGCAGTCTGGGCCTCTTGACTTAGGCTACTGCCCCTGTGACTTATTTTTTGTGTAAAAGTAAAAAAATGTACTATATTTAAAGCTTATATATCGATGGAACAATTATCCTTCAGTTGTTCTGCTAACGAGGACTCGTGAAGGTCTTTTCTCTAATCCAACCATATCCAGTTTGTGTATCAGCACATACCTGCCTTTTTGTCTATGTTTACTTAGTTTTTTCCACTTTTCTTTAAATTACAGAATTACAGCAATTTATTCTCCCTTTACAAATCTCAGACAACCACAAAAATACCACAAAACATGCATCACCCCGACACAATCATCACCACAGGAATCTCAATGCTAAAGTACCGCAGCTCCTCTCGTGTGGTTTTGTGCCATAGGATGTTTTTAAAGACAAGAAAAATGAGGCTTTGATTTTCCATGTTAAACATGTCGGTGCTGCCCTGTCCAGAAATGATAAGTATGCACACTTTTGCATTCAGAAAAGCAATCAAAATACTTACGCCAAGCTTAAATCCTTTAAATAACCTCCCAAATATCAGATTATATGAGTGGAGATTTAAATTAGGAAACATTTAAAACAAATTTAACTCAGATTTCAAGATTTTGATGTGAATAAATGAAACAAGGTAGCTTATAAAAGAAAATTGCAAAACTACTTGTGATGCCGTGATCAAAAATTTACAATTTGGTGGAGTTCGGGGTTGCCACGGTAAACAGTTCTTTCATAATCACAAACATCTGGTTTCACTTAAGAGCTTTTAACCTCCTTGAGCTTGATGCATCATAAATAATGCAGGTAATTAAGTAGAAAAATGACTCAACAGTTAATTGTTATCGTAATTTACTGCTGAAAATACAGTTATGTCCTCTCTTGTGGTTTTTTGCTTGATGTGAGGCTGCTTCTTTGGCTGAAAATGGCTCAAAAATGATTCGGTCTTAAATATTTCTGAGTTTGTTTTCTTCTGAAGTCCCCTCAGAGGTGATGACTCAGCAGTGCAGAAATGTTAATCACTTATTTCTCATTTCCTGTGTTTGCAAATCACATGCGGTGTAAGGGAATATACTCAACAGATTTTGTTTTGTTTCACAGAATCTGTCTCTAAAATGCAGCACAGATGAATGCAGCTCTAGATTTTATGCTGCATGATCAACTTGCTGGTTTCCATGACAGCAGACATCCAACCATCACTGGTGTTAGTATGTCTCCGCTCTTTCGAGTCTGAGTCTGTTCCAAGGTCAGCCACAGAAAGACACAAAGTGCCAGTCATCTGGCAAATGCTGAAAGGCAGCGGGTATTTCCAAGCTCCGACGTCTGTGACCCAGCGTGGGTCATGGGCAGAGACGGGGATACCGCACAGCTGTTGGGTTCAATCCAAACAACAGCTGTGCTTCCTGCAGCTTTAAAATACCCATTTTTACAAGTTGTGACTTAACAATTTAAATGTAACTGCACATTTTTACTGTGTGTAGTTTGTTTGACTTTTGTCTGAACATGTGAGATGAAAAATGGCAATGATAAGCAGAATATAACACATAATAGGTTATAAAAAGACTATCAACTCATGTCATAACAATTAAACATTATTAACATGCTTTTATGCGCTCAGTAATTTATTTTATACTCATATATTTTATCAGGTTTCATTAAAATCAGACAGCAGAAATTAAAATCTCAGTTAAATGTCTCCATCTGCTGGTGTATAGGTAGAATTACACATTGAAAACCCGTCTTGTTTTGTTTGATTGGTCAAAAATACCATGTGACCTAATGACGAGTAAGGAAGTGTTTCAAAGGTGAAAGGGACGCTGGGAAGAAACGTGGGTAAATTGTTGTGTGCTGAGTGCTTTTACTGTTCGTTGACGTTTATCAGACTTGTGTCTATTTTCGAAAAAATAATAAGCATTAATACAATTTTCGCGGACTTTGTAAATAATATTTGAGCCCAGGAGCTAACATTAGCTGCGAATGCTAACCATTGTCTACAAGCGGTTTAAGGGTTGATTCACTGCCTCCTAACTAATAAACTACTGCGGTAAAGTTATTTTAAGTAAATTAAAATATCAATCTGAGAATGGTATTTCACATGTTTCCCTGTTTTATCAAATGTTTGCTGTCGAATATAAACGGAATTCCACAAATGTGGAGTAAGAAGTCTTAGTGGATTTTGTTGATCTTCTGTTCCCAGACCACTAGGTGGCGCACGAAACCCTCAATCAGCTTTTAACCATAAAGCCCAATTTTCAAGGCCAAGAAACTCCTTCACAATGTAAAATGAATCATAAACAGTAACCAGGAAATCCAACGGTTTTATGACTTTGAAACAAATAAATTGTGGGGAAACATCCACTTAGCAGCATTTCACACTCATAACAGGAAACTGTGATTGTGAAATGATAAAAACCTCTAAAAGAGAGTATGCTACCACCAGTTAAATCATAAAACATTCGTTATTTCACATTTTTATTTACTCTGCTGCTGTTGATACTGATCAATGATGTTTTGTTTTTCTCAGTGTTTACCTGCACAATGGCAGCTTCTAAGAGGGTGGCCTCCATGCGTCTGCCCCCGCTGCCCACAGTGGGCGAGCTGATAAAACTGTATAAACTTCGAGCGGAGAAACAACTTTCCCAGAACTTTCTGCTGGATTTGAGGCTCACAGGTTAGTCTCCTTGCATCGCTCCTTCCTGTACCCGATGGTAAAGTGGCATGTGCCCTTGCTAAAATCATGTCTAGTCGCTGCCGTGGGGTAGCTGGAGCTGCTAATGTGAATGGACCGCAGCCCCTGAGAGCTGGAGGGGTAATAATATGATTATCAGTGATGCAGTGAAGCTCTGATCTGCTTTCTCGTCCTTTGGCAAGGTGACTGTTAGATTAATGTGTCTCATCTTCGTCACACAGAAGCTTGCAGATATTGCGATATTGAAATGTATTAATCTCAATTTAGAGACTTTGATGAAGACGCATGATTGGAGAGTATATTGTGTTTGCACTGTATGATGCGCTGACCGATTATAAAGAGCCTAAAAAAAAGCAATGGTGGGGGGTCTTTTTTCTGTGTTTTTAGACAAGATAGTACGTCAGGCTGGCAGTTTGAAGGATGCCCATGTGTGTGAGGTGGGTCCTGGTCCTGGGGGGCTCACTCGCTCCATCCTTAACGCTGGAGCTGCAGATCTGCTGGTTGTAGAGAAAGATTACCGCTTCATCCCCGGGCTACAGGTAGACTCACACTCCACATCCAGACAAGCTGTAGCATCAAAGTCTGAGGAGTTATTTTTCTTCCTTTAAATTATTATGAAATGTTATCTCCACAGCTGTTGTCTGAAGCAGCTCCAGACAGGCTGAGGATTGTCCATGGAGACATTCTCACCTACAGGATGGATCGGGGATTCCCAGCAAAAATCTCCAAGCCTTGGGAGGACGGTGAGAGGATGAGAAAGCTTTATGGCAGTAAAATGTAAAAAGTAAGGTTAAAAGTGATTCAAAGGCTTGTGGTTTCAGAACCACCAAACCTTCACATCATTGGGAACCTGCCGTTCAATGTGTCCACACCCCTCATCATCAAGTGGCTGGAAAGTATAGCCAACAGAAGTGGGCCTTTTGCCTACGGACGCACTCGGCTCACACTCACCTTCCAGAAAGAGGTGATGGAGGTAGGTGAGCTCAGCAGGCTTGTCACAGTTAAATGATTAAAGCATATTTTAAAAGTCTTCACTTTTTCTCCAAATAAACATTATTTTTCACTTAATTGGTTAAAATTTTTATGCTTTAGGCCCCATAGATGGATTTCTCACTCGTTCAGTGTTTTGTTCTCTTTACATTATTAATACACACTAGAAAAGCTCATAAGCTGGAAGTGAAAGAACATTTCATTTGACAACATTTGCGTTCCTGAGAGTTGTCCTGTCCATCCAGAGGCTGACGGCCAGCACAGGCACCAAACAGAGGAGTCGTCTGTCCATCATGGCTCAGTATCTGTGCACCGTCCACAAGTGTTTCATCATACCGGGACGAGCTTTTGTTCCCAAACCAGAGGTAAGTCGGTTTATTTATCTAGAACCTGGCGGCTCCACGCCTCATTGGATTAATTGCACTCCCTCTCTGGATGGATATGTTCGCTGGCAAGGAGCGTACTCTGTCTACATCCCCAAACGCGCACATCATTCATTACCCCCAAATTCCACTACCTCCGCTGCGCTCCGCTGCGCTCCGCTCCGACACGAACGCCGGAGCAAAATCGGTCCCGTTCTAGTCAATCAGAGCAATTCCACTACTGCGGCCGTGCTCCGGCAGTGCGGCGCCGTGCGCCGCCCTCTGTTCCGGCGTCCGGCAAAAATAGAATCGATCCTATTTTTGCTGGACGCCGGAGCACCTCCGCAGTCAATGGACAGAAATCACAACCGCCCAACAGGAAAAGGAGCGAGCACAACTTCCGTTTTTCACAATAAATCGATAAACAAAAGGCGTTTTTTGTTTCATATGCACAGGTTTAACAACTTTTAACAACTATCAGTGGCGGCTGAAGTTTAAATGCACAAAAGTAAGCCATAAATACAGTTTCCACTATCAAAGTAGTCACACTTTGTTGATCCAAACACTGCTGATCTCTCAACACAACTGATGGGCAGAATAAACAGTTCATGCTGATGCTTCTCCCAAACAACGGGTGTTTGGATCTAACTTCTGCGTTTATTGCTCGGACTGTATCGCAAGACCTCGAAAATCCCGCGCATGCTTGTTTGCCCACCTCAGGTCTCCGCACCGGAGCGGAGCCGTTGTAGAGCGGGTAGCAGTAAAAATTGAGTTCGGAAGCGAGCGGCTGCGGAGGGCGGGGTCGGACCGGAGCGGAGGTAGTGGAATTTGGGGGTTAGGAACGCTGAAATAAAACATATTCAGTATCAGTGTTTGAGAGGTGGCAGCTGGCAGATTTCTCCCCTCAGGTAACTCTGGGACCTCTTTATGTCTCTGCTCCTCATCTGGTCCCTCATTCCTGTCAGCGTCCCTCATCCACCCCCCCATTACTCACCCCGTCTTCTTGCTTGTAGGCTTCGTTTGGTGTTGAATCAGTGCTGTCTCTCTTCCGTCTTCGGACCTTTTTCTGGGTTGTAATGAAGCCTGGTGGGTATTTGAGATGTGGCACCGCGCCTTGTAATGAGAGCCTTGTTCTTTTTTGAGGTCCGGTATCTTTCTGCCCATGTGAGTGCTTCAGTGGCAGAAACGAGATGTTCAGTCTTATGTAATGTGAGGATTTTTCTTTTAATCTTCAGTGGGAGGATTCATGGTAGGACCAGGGAATCCATTAAAAGAATACAGCACCAGTGTTGGAGAATAAGGCCCTCGTGTGACGTGGGTTTTAATTTACAGACATAAAAGCCTTTTGAAAGTCTCCGGGGCTTTTTTTTTACATCTTTTGCACAAATCCAATCTTGTTTTTGTAGTGTGTGATTAGAGAATAGGTGTTGGTTTGTTGTCAGATGGGCTGCTGGTCCCTCAAAGAGGCTCTGGCTCTTTGGGAGACCCACTGTTGGTAAATATTTAATTTTCTGCAAAGAGTAAAATGCTGCAGAGTGAAGAGAACAAGTAGTGATTGTTCATTCTTTCAGAAGAGATGGGTCCCAATGATTATTTCATCACTCGGCTGTCTTTTTTTTAATGCTTTTTTCTCTCTGGCGTATCTCACTTGTCTGTTTGTCGAACTGCAGCTTAAAAGGTTGCAGCAGGAAGTTGGAGCTTTCAAATCTCCACACGCAGGTTCACGTGCACACAAGATAGCTTTTACACCCTGTCAACGTTTGATTGAGAGGATCCAGTTGCTTGTTTTCCCTCATCATTTATTTTTAAATTGGTTTAAAAATGAGCAAAGACGGCGTCTACAGGGATGACGCACCATGCCGGCAAATCGGCGTAATATTACCGCAGTGGTTTGTCTATAACCGCCAGTGTTGGGCAAGTTACTTCAAAACTGTAATGCATTATTTATTACTTGTTACCCTCATTTTGAAGTAATTCATTACATTACAATATTACTGATTTTAAAATGTAAGGCATTACACTACTTTTGCATTACTTTAAGTTACTTTCACCAAAACAACTTCAGTATGAATCTGGTCATGTGACGCTCAGTGAGCTCATGACATATATGTGGAAGGTGATGTGGTGTCTGAGCTAGGATTGCTGTTATAAACAGTCAGATATAATAACAGTGCTTTAAAATGATTGTTTATTAAATAAAAGCAACAACAATCTGTACTCTCAGCACGCTGCTATCTTATATTAACTGAGCAGGGAGTGAGGTGGTGGGGGCTCCAAGCCCATATTTGCCTTGGTCCCCAAATGCCTTGATACGGCCCTGGATGTGGGACTGACTTCTGGGGTGATCTGATTCTATCACATGTATAAATATTAAATGCTTATTTATTATTGCTTTTCACTGGTAAAAATGTGTATTGGGAATAAATCTACTGACTTTTTTCTTTTCAAGCACTTTGTTTTGTTTTCTTGGTTTTATGTGAATAATTTCCGGCCCTTTCTCTCTCTAACCTTCCTGCATGCTGCATGTTTTCTCCGTCTTCCAGAAAAACTGTTTCCTAGATTTCCTACTTTCTAACTAATCAGGGGATCTATCAAAGGGATCTATCGAACGCAAAAAAATAAAAATTAAAAAATTAAAAAAAGCTTTAACTGCGCTGCGCTCCAGCAGCAATGAGTTGAAATCACCGGGGCACAGATTATGAACTCAGCTGAAAAGTACATGAAGTACCAGAGAATATGGGCTGATATAAACGATCGCAAACAAATGACTTTGTTTTGGTGGAGCGATTTTGTGAATATAACAGCGGCCGCGCGCAGGACACAGCTGGAGTGTTTGAGCCGTTACCGCTGCGTCCTCTCTGCTCATAGAATGCCCGCAAAGCTGAGTCCATAAATGACGTCGTATATGTGGATACTGGATCTGTTTTCAGGCTTCCTGCAGTTTGAATTTTTAGGAAACCCACATCTTGATTCTGGGTTTAAAAATGCATTGTAATTACCGCGTTACTGACACTTGTACTGAGTAAATATTACCATTTTGTTTCCCTGTAATGCCTTACATTACCACATTACAGCAAAAAGCTATGCATTACAGTAATTAATTACATTTGTACTCCCAACACTGATAAACGTGCCATGTCGGCATTCGTTCCGCCTTGCTTGGTAGTAATATTGCGGTAATGGTCTGTCGTATGCGTCCTGGCGCAACAGAGGCAGATGTCATGATGATGTGGGGAGTTATTGCTGAGCTTCGGCTGGCAAATGTATTGAAAATGAAAGTAAACACGGGCAGTAAGGTTTGCTTTTTGAACAAAATCAGCTGAGATGGCAAACTGGAGCGCCGCAGCGCTCCAAGAGCCTCTCTGTTAGAGCTGAAGCTCAGATCACAGGGTATCCGCGGGTCCGTAAAAAGTCTTAAATTAGCTTTTCCTAATTTAAGGCCTTAAAAGTCCTTAAAAATGACAAATAATCCTTAAATCCAGTTTCCAAAGGTCTTAAATGACCAAAGACCCAATAAACAAGATTCTTTTATTTTTATAACAATTCCGTGAATTTCTAGTTAGTGTTCAGCATTTTTTGTGTATGATGTTGACGTAAGCGGAACCGTACGCAGTCAGTTGGTTGTGAAAGGGGGCTATTTTTTTTAGATGAGTACATTAGCTGGTTAAGCTAGTGGGAGCTTGCGCCATGGGAAAGGGCAAGTTTAATGGTAAACTTATGGTTAATCCCACGTTCGCGACGTGGTTAGCACCGGTTCCAGGCAATAGCTGGAAATTATACCTTAAATTTAATTTTTAAAATAGCTTAAATTTGGTCAAAGTGGCCTTAAAAAGGGTCTTAAAAAGTCTTAAATTTAGCTCCCTTAAATCTGCAGATACCCTGGATCACCAGAGACTGCACAGGGTCTGATGGGGACAGACACCTTCAGGAGCTGCTTGTTAAAAAAATCGCAATAAAAAGCAAGTTATGTCCAAGATAAACGGAAGTCCACAGCAGCGCAGAGACCGCCCCCATCCCCCCTTTATGCCGCCATCACCTAATCTTTTATAAAATTGCCGCGATTGCGCCGCATTACCGCCACGGTCTGATCTTATAAACGACCTTTATCCTCCCCGGGGAGCCGTGGAAAATCCCGTTTTGCAAACGCTCTGGTCCTGTAAAAACAGCTCAATGTACCTTTACCAGTTTCACGTAGTCACTGATAAACTCTAAACACATCAGACCTCTGAGAGAACGAGCACCAGAGCTCAGCTCATAACAAAGGGTTTGGTAACACAACACTAAAGATTACTGGTCGTGGGATTCAGAGATGCTGCTGGGTCTTAGTAATCTCATTTAGATGCTCCTTTAATGCTTCAAGCACGTTTTCTTCTTGCAGTCTTACAAAAGTCTTACTGCTTTAAATTATAAAACAATAATTCATCTGAAAAGTTGGTAAAAATCAAAGGAAGACTGTAGAGTAGTGGTGTGCATCTCTACCTGCCTCATGATTCAATCCGATTCCCATTATCTGTGTAGCGTAGATAATCTACATAACCAGGATGTAACGCTGTTGCTGTTCAGCTTTGTTAGATTCTGAGAAAGATCAAACAAATTAGCAAATAAAGCTTATATCATGTATAAATATCCTGGATATTTATACAATCGATAGAAGTTCATACACCAACGGGCTTGGTCTATGTTTAATCCAAAGATTAACATTTAATTTAAGAGAGGTTTAAATTGATAGCAAAAGTCTATTTATTAAACCAGAATACTTAATGGAATCTTTGCTTATTCGATAACCAAATATACACCATTCTGTGTTTCTTGTCAAAGAAGAGTCAGGTTTAAAAAGTTAAGAATTTATTACTAATAATTTAAAAAGGACAGTTTATAACAGCTTTGATATTAAAACTTGGTATTAAAAGCAACCTGTGTCTGAATGGAAGCTAAAATGAAATGCCTGTGTTGGATGCATGGATGGATTCTCAGAAGGCTCCAATCAGAGAGAGAAACGCGTTCTGGGTGAAATAGTTGTTTTGCAGCTAACTAAGTTGTTTCTTAGAGATAACAGTATACAGACGCAATCTGTCAGTAGTGTCTGCCTCACCCAGTTAGGAGACCCTCTGTTTGATCCGAGATGTCAGGTGGAGATGATGACCTCCGAGCACGAGGTGGGTAGAGGGACCTTGGTGCGACCAAATCAGTCCTGAGATGTCTCCGGTCACAACGACTGATGAAACTGGAGGCTTCGGGCGGCCGACCCTTATCATCTGGGACTCTCGTGCCATGGAGAGATTTTGGTTGGTTCAGAACTGTCAGCTTGAACTGAGGAGTTTGGTTTTAACAAAACTCAGGACACGCCCTCTCAGAGATAGAAAGCTTTGGTTATGGAGCAAAGACATGCGAGGTGGTTACCTTTAACCTGAATTCAGCGTCCTGCATGGTGTGTATGAGTGTACACGACCTTCTGGTTACTGATCAAACATTACTGATTATCATAAATAATGATTATTATTAACCAAAGAATAATAAGTAATTTCAGTAATTAAATACATTTATAATGAACTATGATGATTATTTATGATGATTATTTATTAACCTTGTAATAAACAGTGAAAAGAGTTTATTAAAAATGATTATTTTAAATCTTGAAGTGTCCTTCATCTTGGGACGGAGCAGCAGTCAGATTAAAGATGGTTTTAGCAGACTTTACGTCTCCTGTGATGGATAATCTGTGGACAGAAGTACAACTTGACCCAGCTCGACCTAGCTGGGGAAGTGTGACCTTTGGGTCAAAAATGAGGCCATTCATGTCACTACATCTGCCTAAAGATTCAATTTGAGTCTGAAATACATCACGATTCTTCACACAAAACTTTTCATTACTTAATAAAAGCAGTTGCTTATATAATGTGCTGTTATTGTTACGTACGACTCTGTTGCAGCAGCTTGTTTTCTTAAAGTGGCAGACCCTTTTAAATGACTCACTCTGGAAGGTACTGAAAATGTCAGGAAAAAAAACGCTGGAATCGCTTTATGAGAGAGGGGTTTTGTGCAAAGCTCTTTGAACGTGTTTTTTTTTATAGACGATAGAACTTTTAAAAGTTCAAACAGGATATCCGCGGGTCCTTAAAAAGTCTTAAAAAGTCTTAAATTTACTTTTCCAAATTTAAGGCCTTGAAAATCATTAAAAATGACAAATAATCCTTAAATACAGTTTCCAAAGGTCTTAAATTATCAAAGACCCAATAAACTAGATTATTTTATTTCTATGACATTTTCGTGAATTTCAGCATTTTTTGTGTACGATGTTGGCGTAAGCGGAACCGTACACATTCAGTTGGTTGTGAAAGGGGACTATTTTTAGATGAGCACGTTAGCTGGTTAAGCTAGTGGGAGCTTGCGCCATGGAGAAGTGCAAGTTTAATGGTAACTGGATGGCTAATCCCATGTTGGCGACGTGGTTAGCACCGGTTCCAGGCAATAGCTGTAAATTATAGCTTAAAATTAATTTTAAAAATAGCTTAAATTTGGATCTGGATCGAAAGGAGTCAGTTGAGGTGGTTTGGGCATCTGGTCAGGATGCCTCCTGGACGCCTCCCTGGGGAGGTGTTTCGGGCATGTCCTGCCGGCAGGAGGCCGCCGGGTCGACCCAGGACACGTTGGAGAGGTTACATCTCCAATCTGGTCCGGGAATGCCTTGGGGTCCTGCCGGAGGAGCTGGTGGAGTTGGCCGGGGAGAGGACGGTCTGGTGCTCCCTAGTTGGGATGCTGCCCCCGCGACCCAGACCCGGATAAGCGGAGGAAGACGACGACAAGCTTAAATTTGGTCAAAGTGGCCTTAAAAAAGGTCTTAAAAAGTCTTAAATTTGGTTCCCTTAAACCTGCAGATACCCTGTCAAAAAAGTTCTGAGAGAAAGCAGTCTTTTTACATTTGTGTCCCCGCTTGCGCTGAGGATGGCCGTAGAAGGAAGTTCACATGGAGAGTTTTGTTGCTGGTCCTCCTGTCAGGCGCCATGCAACTAGCTACAAAGATTACAAGATGTATGATCTGATGAAATGTCACAAAAGGTATTGTGACATGAGCCTCACTGCTTTTGGGTTGACATTGGTAAGAGATGCATCTGCTTAACCCCCAAACCATAACCTGCAGAGCTTATTAGAGTCAAAGTGCTGCTTTGAGGGATAATCGTCGTCCACTCTGAGGCACTGCAGCCCAACACAGTGAATATTTGTCAGCCATGATTAGTTTCTACGAACAAAGCAAAAGATTTAGTTTAATATTACTGTGAAAAGCAGGAAAATATGTAAAACTTGAACGAGTCTGAATATTCCCAAACTTTTAAGGACACATGAATCGGCACCTTTCATGTGCAAACCCTGGCCATCACTAAATGTTTTAATGGCCACTTGGTCCAACTTGTATCATTAGGAGAGACCATGACTTTTTGATGGGCAGATTTCCTGCCGCCGGTGTCCTGCAAAAGATCATGGAGGGCGTGCAGCGTTCTAATGCTATCATCACCTCGGCATCATGCAGGCCCTCTTTTTAATAACATGTCACGCAGCGTGAATCATAACATTTCTATGGCGCTGCTTTGTTTACTGGTGCACACCAGAGTAATTACGCACAACTGCATAAACAATAAAAATGTCCTGCCTGATTTATGGATCTAAATTAAAGGCCGCAGAGAAAGGACTAAAGGGAATAAAGATTTCCTGCAAAAGCAAAGGATTTTCTATAAAACGCAAGTGTGGAAAACACTGATATGACACAAATGAGCCACAAAATCAAAGTCAGATGCTAAATAAAATAAAGATATCTTTCCTAATGATAGCTTGTCTGCTGTAAATGAGAGTCGATGCAAAATGAGGCGGGTGGTTTTAATGCTGTAGCTGACCGAGGCTTGTTAAAGAAAAAAACAGAAGCAGATCATAAAAACAGTGTTGGACAAAAGTTTGTTGCCTTTGCTGCAACGCCTGTGCTTTTTCGTGTGTGTGTGTGTGTGTGTGTGTGTGTGTGTGTGTGCGTGTGTGTGTGTGTGTGTGTGTGTGTGTGTGTGTGTGTGTGTGTAACTGAAGGCAAAACCCGCTCCCGCTGAAACTCGGGGATCACTGATTAAGTTAATAAAGAGGAAATTGTGAAAACTGAAGCACATCTGAGCTTTTGTCGGTTTTTGTGATGTAATTGTCACACCTGAACCCGAGCTGGTCCTTAATCCTGCCTAATGATTCACACATTGAGGCGATATTTTGATATTTTACTGAACATTTACGTATTTGTGCTTCGTGTTGCTCGTATGACAATAAACCATGTGTGAGTGGCTTTAGAAGTGGCTGGATTTTGTGTAATCTGGGTAGTCAGACAGAGACTTATGAAGAATCCAGAGGAAAAAATAGCCTCAGCTGAAGGAGGGATGAAGAGGATGGGATGGTTGATTAGAACCTGGAGGAGCTGGCCATCCTAAGTTTGAGAAGGAAATGTTGGATCCGTTTTACTCTAGCAGCTGATGGACACATATTGATAACTGGTGGGGAGAAAGGCTTTTATTCCTGATGCTAATCTGTACTTTTCACACCCTGAAGTTCACTTCTTGTTTCTTGAACATTAATGGACATTAAAGGTTTTCTGGGAGCAAACTGGCTCAAAGGGGTCTTACAAAAACTTTTTTTTAACAAATAAAAGTTGTTCTTTGAGCCTATTTAGCATACAGAACTTAGCTGGGGCTCAAAATGAACCAGGAGCCCCAATAAAAGACCAAACACAGCCTCATAATAAAGCTCTACAAAGGAAAGACTGGTTTTCCCCGTCCTCTCGACCAGGACACGAATATTACACGAGCTGCCTGAAGCTAAACTGCAGCTGTATAGAGTATTCAGATTACTCTATGGGCAAGCTATGGATCTTGTTGTCGTCATCTTCCTCCGCTTATCTGGGTCCGGGTCGCGGGGGCAGCATTCCAACTAGGGAGTTGCAGACTGTCCTCTCCCCAGCCACCTCCACCAGCTCCTCCGGCAGGACCCCAAGGCGTTCCGGACCAGATTGGAGATGTAACCTCTCCAACGTGTCCTGGGTCGACCCGGGGGCCTCCTGCCGGCAGGACATGCCCGAAACACCTCCCCAGGGAGGCGTCCAGGAGGCTTCCTGACCAGATGTCCAAACCACCTCAACTGACTCCTTTCGATCCGGAGGAGCAGCGATTCTACTCCGAGTCCCTCCCGAATGTCCGAGCTCCTCACCCTATCTCTAAGGCTGAGCCCGGCCACCCTATGGAGGAAACTCATTTCGGCCGCTTGTATCCGCGATCTCGTTCTTTCGGTCATTACCCAAAGCTCATGACCATAGGTGAGGATTGGGACGTAGATCGACCGGTAAATCGAGAGCCTGGCTTTCTGGCTCAGCTCCCTCTTCACCACGACAGATCGGCTCAGCGTCCGCATCACTGCAGACGCCGAACCAATCCACCTTTCGATCTCCCGATCCCTCCTACCCTCACTCGTGAACAAGACCCCGAGATACTTAAACTCCTCCACTTGAGGTAGGACCTCTCTCCCGACCCGGAGTTGGAAAGTCACCCTTTTCCGGTCCGGTTTTCCTATTGATCTACAGGAACCAATCATGGCCTTGATATTCCCAGTACATCCTGGAATGTTACACGTGTGCTCCGACATCCTCCTTTGGTTTTCCTGTCATCCAACAAGGACATTAGCAGTGGCTCAGGCTAGCATTGTTTTGCTGTTAGCGTTACAGCCACCAACATTTATAAACTGTCAACATTGAAGGGTCATGCGTATTTAAAGGGTGGGGGATGTCTCTGCATATGGCGGGGTATGTCCACTTTTTTTTTTTTTTTTTTTTTTTAGAATGAACCGTTTCTCAGTGGCCATTAAACATGACTAAGATCACTAATTTGCATAGGAAAGCAGATCAGAGGTACGTTAGACAAGCTGCCTAAATTCAACAACAAGGTAAATTTGGTTTTGACTTCTAGGACCCCTTTAAAATGTCTTCTGTGATTTCCCCACATAGAAATACTGAACGAGCAATCACAAAATGACTTCTAATAAGACGCAGCTTTACCCACGTCTGAGATTTCTGAAGTGCCTTTTCAGGGGTCGAGGAGTTTTTGAGTCCATGCTGCCGTCAGATGTCGTCATCTTAAGTAAGAACATTGAGATCTTACATAAAAAGATCTGATTATGTCCAGAAATTATTCTTCGCCGTGGCTGGATTTTAAAATAAATGTCCACATTGCAGTTGGATCTATAAATTGCTTCCATCTCAAGGTCTGTACGTTGTCCGAAAAGCTGCGGTTTTGATTGGAGAAGCTGAGGAGGGGGCATAGAGAAGGGAATCATAAAAGAAACGGGGAAGAAAAGAGGCAATAAAAAATGAAAATTGAGAAATAAAACAGTGCAATATGACAAAGAATGGGCAGGAATAAGCTAGTGAAAGCAGCAGAAGGAATGAAATGAGACAGAGGCTTGGATGTGAAGTTTACGACGAAACAAAACCTGAGAAGCGACTCTTCATCCACCCGAGGACAGAGCAGCAGAAGACGGATTCCTGACAGAGATGGATCTGAGCAGAGAGTCAGGCGCACCTCCAGCAGATGGTTGTGTCGGGCCTCGCTCTGAGTAATGGCTGCATCAGCCATCACCCACCAGCTAACAAGAGGAGAGCCCTACAGATGCTCGCCTTGTATACAGTCGCTTTCCAAGAGCACAGGCTAGAGGAGCGGAGCCTAAATTTCATTTGTTAATGGGGCATTGAACATCAATATTACAGTAGCTGCTGGGAGACTTCAGACTCCTGCAAAAACCTGCATGTGTGTCTGCAGCAGTGTTAAACCTGCATGTGTGTCTGCAGCAGTGTTAAACCTGCATGTGTGTCTGCAGCAGTGTTAAACCTGCATGCGTGTCTGCAGCAGTGTTAAACCTGCATGCGTGTCTGCAGCAGTGTTAAACCTGCATGCGTGTCTGCAGCAGTGTTAAATCTGCATGCGTGTCTGCAGCAGTGTTAAACCTGCATGCGTGTCTGCAGCAGTGTTAAACCTGCGTGTGTGTCTGCAGCAGTGTTAAACCTGCGTGTGTGTCTGCAGCAGTGTTAAACCTGCATGTGTGTCTGCAGCAGTGTTAAACCTGCGTGTGTGTCTGCAGCAGTGTTAAACCTGCATGCGTGTCTGCAGCAGTGTTAAACCTGCGTGTGTGTCTGCAGCAGTGTTAAACCTGCGTGTGTGTCTGCAGCAGTGTTAAACCTGCGTGTGTGTCTGCAGCAGTGTTAAACCTGCATGTGTGTCTGCAGCAGTGTTAAACCTGCGTGTGTGTCTGCAGCAGTGTTAAACCTGCGTGTGTGTCTGCAGCAGTGTTAAACCTGCGTGTGTGTCTGCAGCAGTGTTAAACCTGCATGCGTGTCTGCAGCAGTGTTAAACCTGCGTGTGTGTCTGCAGCAGTGTTAAACCTGCATGTGTGTCTGCAGCAGTGTTAAACCTGCGTGTGTGTCTGCAGCAGTGTTAAACCTGCGTGTGTGTCTGCAGCAGTGTTAAACCTGCGTGTGTGTCTGCAGCAGTGTTAAACCTGCGTGTGTGTCTGCAGCAGTGTTAAACCTGCATGCGTGTCTGCAGCAGTGTTAAACCTGCGTGTGTGTCTGCAGCAGTGTTAAACCTGCGTGTGTGTCTGCAGCAGTGTTAAACCTGCGTGTGTGTCTGCAGCAGTGTTAAACCTGCGTGTGTGTCTGCAGCAGTGTTAAACCTGCATGCGTGTCTGCAGCAGTGTTAAACCTGCATGCGTGTCTGCAGCAGTGTTAAACCTGCGTGTGTGTCTGCAGCAGTGTTAAACCTGCATGTGTGTCTGCAGCAGTGTTAAACCTGCATGCGTGTCTGCAGCAGTGTTACGGTTATTTTAGCTTATTGAAGTTTACGCTTTTCCCTCCAGCAAAGGTGTCAGCTGGCGTTGACATAAATCTGTCCTTTGATTCGGTGCATATGCTTCACCTTAGTCTGGTCCAGTAAGCCACAGTCACAATGATGGATATCCACTTGCTGACCTCGTGTGACCCGACTCTTGCCTCCACAGCAGGAATAATAGAAGTAAGGATCTACTCCGAGGGGCTGTGCTGCTCTTCTTCACCTCCTGCCACACTTTCTGCAATCTGCACACAATTCATGTGGATCTATTCATATCTCGTAAATGGGGTCAAACACCGTATCGGGAGGATTGGAGAAAGTTATTTCAATGACTCGTGCCAGGAGGGAAAATGCCAGAAGAGCACACACAGTATATTAAAGACCAAGGGTAAGAGGTACCTAAAAATATTTCTTCTTCTTTTTAAACAAAATGCAGAGCCATGCAGAGTCGGCCTGTGGCCGTTTCTGGGATGCTCCTTGCTCTGGGGTTTGCTCAGAGTCAACATTTAGTTGAGGAAATTTGGTTCTGTTTAGTTGCAGAGTGTTTCAAAAAGATCTGCAGGGTTTTTATGTGGGGAAATAATTCTGAACACTATCTACAGTCCAAGGAAATGAAGCTAATTCAAAATGAAATTGACCAAAATGAGTGGCATCAATCTGTAAGCTCTTATTTTGAAGGGTTATTTAAACTTCAGGGCTTGGTTTCAGGTGTTCAGAGGGACTGGTGGATGAATCCAGTGGGAGCATTGATTGAGTTTCATCAGAATTTCAAAGCAGATCTGGAAATATGCTCAGGGACATCACTGCTTTAGCTTGACATTGCCTTCAGTTGCTCTCGGATTCCTTTGATATAATGAATATTTGTCTCAGTGATTATTGTCATGAAGCCAAATATAGATGGCAAAACAGTAACGTGGTCACACCCTTGAAGGCTTAGCCTCACTCACCTTTGGCCTCCCATCCACGTGCTGCACGATGCTCAAAGCTGAAATATTCACGGGCCTCCTTTGAACTGTCAGACTGTATTGTTTTCCTACAAGCTCTCCTTTTGTCATCTCTGCAGCTTTTACTGCCTTTGTCAGCAGTTTACTGCGCAGTCCAAGGTCGTTGCTGTTATTCCAGCAGCCTCATGTGAGCATCAGGACTACAGCAGAGCTCCAACAAAGGA